CCTCCACAGTATCTCGACCTGTAGCAGCAACTAAGACTTCATCTCCTACTACATATTCAGCGCCATCTGGAGTAGCTTCCATTGGAAGTTCATCTCCTGACGGAAGTTACAGCTTCAACTACAAGACTGACGATAGCTCCCGGTCAGAGAGTGCTGATTCCGACCTGAATGTTCGAGGAACATACAGTTTTAAGCCTGATGATGGAGTTCAAAGAACTGTCAGTTATAGAGCAGGGAGTGGAACTGGTTTTGTTGCTGAAGGATCCCACTTACCTGTAGCTCCTACGGGGTCAGGAGCCTCCACAGTATCTCGACCTGTAGCAGCAACTAAGACTTCATCTCCTACTACATATTCAGCGCCATCTGGAGTAGCTTCCATTGGAAGTTCATCTCCTGACGGAAGTTACAGCTTCAACTACAAGACTGACGATAGCTCCCGGTCAGAGAGTGCTGATTCAGACCTGAATGTTCGAGGAACATACAGTTTTAAGCCTGATGATGGAGTTCAAAGAACTGTGAATTACAAAGCAGGGAGTGGAACTGGTTTTGTTGCCGAGGGATCCCACTTACCTGTTGCTCCATCAGGTACATCTAGAACAAGTCCAGATGTGTCACCTGCAGTCGCTACAAAGAGTGCTCGTCCTTCTACCTACTCAGCACCTTCTGCAATAGCTCAGGTCAAAAGTTCTTCATCCTCTGATGGAAGTTACAGCTTTAACTATGACGCTGATACCAGTTCCCGAGCCGAGAGTGCTGATTCTGATCTGAACGTGCAGGGGACTTACAGTTTTAGTGCTGATGACGGAATCCAGCGAACTGTAAATTATAGAGCAGGTTCTGCAACTGGTTTTATTGCTGAAGGCAAACACTTACCTACTGCTTCAACAGATGTATCAAGTCATTCTCAACCTCTTATTACTGTCAAAACCGCACCTTCATCAGTTTCTCGCTCATCACCTGGGGTCCAGTCCTCTCGAAGCCGCACTGTGGGTAATGTTTTGCTCCACCAATATGACCCAACAAGCAAGGCTGGCAAATATGGCTATGTCTTCACTGAACTGCGTCGTTAGTCTTTAGCATGGCTGATGACAAGACTCCAGTCCTTCATGGTGCCTACTCTGCTCGGATCTCAGCGTTTGATTGTGTTGTAAATATCAAGGATCGCACTTAAAATGTCATAAAAAATAAACTGCATGAGAACACTAGCGTTATTTTAACCTTTTCCTAATGGTGATGACCATGAAACAATCGTGACAAATAATGATTACGACATAACAGAAAACATGATATTAATAATGGGAATAACACTGTCACTGACAATAATAATATTTATTTCAATTGTTATAAGAACATTGAAACCATTTATGGTAATGATAAATACAGCAGAAATAATTATCATTTAATTGTTATTGCTAATATGTCTGATAATTAGAAAAGTAATAAAAGTGATAATAATATTATTTTTGTATTTACTTTTGCAACTGCAACTTGAATCTCATTGTTATTGTTGATTTTAAAAATGATCTTAACATCATGCAAAGATAATAAGGAAAATTACAAAAATGAAGACAATGGTGAAAATTATACGAATGATTATACCACTAATAACAGCAATAATAATAATAATATTAGCAGATCCATAACAAGATGGTAACGATAAATCAATGCCAACAATGAACATTGGTCATCATGACAATAACGTTCTTAAAAACGATGCTCATTGTGAAAGTAGTAATAACTGAATGGGTGACCAAGGGTTATCACACTTTTGCATTTTCGGTAATAAAAGAAAAATCTATAGACAAATACATGAACCTTTCCATTTTTTACGACCTTTTTCACTTAAGGGAAGCACTGCTTGGTACGCTGTAGGTATTCAATAATATGTTTTTATACAAAGTAGCTACAATACTGAACCCTCAGTACGCATGCCTTTTCGGAAGGCGCGCGGTCGCTGAATGGGCTTCGTGTCGGCCGGTCCGTGCAACCTCCTCAGCTGGTACTCTACGCGCTTGCGAGAGTTGTACCGGCTTGTTGTCTTTTAAATGTTCCTAAGTTTCCAGACCTGCACAGTTGCTGTTTTCTTGACGTTTTCTATGTAACAATAATATTAAATTGCTCCAAATACCGCGAAACTAAAAAAAATATGTGATTACCTCGAGGCAGAGAGAGAGAGAGAGAGAGGGAGATTTAAAAATCATGTATTATGAAGGGGAGAGGATGGTGAAAATTGGTTTTTGAGGAATTACGTTATGCTATAAATATATCTTAAGGATTTTGTTTTCTCTGAAATTACAGGGCACGTACGTAATTCCATTTACTGTTATAGCCGAGACCTAAACCATAAAGGTAGGATATGATGTAAAGATACACATAATGAAGAGTCATAATGAAATGTAAATGCTTGTCGTTCCTCTATTAACCCTTCGGCAGCGGACTACATCAAGGCTCAGGGGACGAGCGGCGTGTTAAGGCAGATTTGTCTTTAATCCTTTCATTA